CAGGTGGGAGGTGAGATAGATGCTCGGTCCTCTTGAGCAGGTGACAGATAATATGAAACCACACTGTGTTTCAGCAGGATGAGGCCTCTTTTTCTTAGTCACCCCTAACTCAGGGGGTTAGTACTGAAACCCCCAACAAGGTTTTCCTGCCTGACTCTCTGAAAGCACACACAGTCATGCTTTGTTAAGTTAGTCAACAATGCTGAAATAGAATCCAGTAAATCTTGTGTCTTTCTTGCTGGCCCAGTCAAAACAAGAAAAGGCTGCTAAGTCGGAACATTCCTCTCCATTAATAAAGGTCCCTAGTTTCACTTCTCCATGTCATCATTCATTTGAAGTCAGTCCGCAGAGAGCCCAGGGGGTAGCAGGAACTCTCACTGAGTGTGTGCTATGTGCCGGGGTATGGTGAAAGGAAGACAACAACATATGGCTTACATGCTTCCTGCAGAGCCTCAATGAGGAAACACATGTGTAAGAATGGAGAGCCACTGTCGTCTCCATGGAGATGGTGTGCAGTATACCCATCACTCAAAGGAAGGCAAGACCCACTATTTTATTTGGGCCCCTTCCAAAGGATGGCCACCATTTCCTATATTGTGTCAAACTCTCTGTGTGTGACCAATGCAGCTTCAAACAGCTCCTCTGCTTTATCTCATGCAGTTCTGCACTAAGTAGCCCTTTAAAGGTTAGAAAACCAAGGGCCAAGGAAACAAGTAGACAGGATAGCCACGAAACTAGTAAGAAGCAGCAAGCAGAAGCAGGGTTCCAACTTGCCTGTCCTTTCCATTTCTGGGGTTCTACCGTAATTGATGGAATGCAAGGGCATTGTGCAGGAAATCATCCAGGGAGGGTGACTCCAGGAAAGATAGCAGTGTGTGACTGGCTTCAGGCGGCAACCTCTTCTATTCCTGTTGGTTCAACTCTGACCCATACTTGTCACCAGCTTGAGTTGGCTGTTTCCAAGGGACTCTTGCACTCAACTCCATTGTCACTTCATTGTTTAAAGGACTTTGAGACTATGTAAGGCATCAGGAATGTGCCAAGAGTATTTTACCTCACTTCCTTTGACTCTTTTTCTCTGTCTTCAATTTACAAAGAATAAAAAAGAAATGTCTCTTTCACTGATATTGTGACATCCACATGGATTATCCAGCATGTTCTCCCACCCCTTTTTGCAACTTTAATCTTTACATAAAAAGTTCTAGTGAATAATCAAATGTAGATTTGGAAAAATACTGGATTATACTATTTCTCATCCCCACTCCTATACATGAAGCAGAACCCAAACCACTATTAAGAACAATGGCTCCTAATAACGAGGAGAACAGATTGGGCCTGACCTCTAGGACCACACCTCCTGCCCACCCAGACTACAGCCAGTACTCTGGTAGTAAAGCATCATTGCTTCCCTCATACTCCAGTTAGCTTAGTACAGCCAGGCATATTATCAATTACGCTGGACCTAACAGAACACCAGCTTTTGTTTTGTAGCCCAGGATGGCCTTGAACTCCAGATTAGCACGTCTCAGCTTCCCACATGCTGAGATTACACGAGAACACCACGAGCCCATAGGAATTTTCTTTGGAATCTGTAACCTTGTCTGACTTGTCATTTTTGTGTACATATGTCATCAGTGAAGTTTCTTTGCAAAATGAACTATCAGATGGTGTTCTGGCCTTTAAGCAAGCTGCTTGCTCTAGGTTTTGACATAAATCTTGCCTCTTTGTGCATTCTCGTGGATTCTTCCTCTCATATAATTTTTCTGTTTAATTCCTTAGGTTTTGATGCTCCATCCCTAGTTCTTCAGACATAGTTTGGGTCTTGACCATCCCCCACAAAGACCCATGAATGTAACAGTTTGGAAATGATGGAACCTTGCAGAGGTGTGTCCTCTGTGAACTCTGAGTCACTGAAGGTATTCCCCTGGTGGGATTATAGGGTTCCTGTCCCTTCACTTCTTTGTTTCCTCGATTGCTTTAAAGTGGGTGGAGTTAGCTCTACCCCAGGTTCCTATCATGAGCTACGGCCTCATCATGAGCCCAAAAGCAGTGGGACCAATCATGCAAGGGTCTAGAACCTCCAACTCTGAGCCAAAATAAGCTTTTCTTCCTTATGAACATCTCAGACATTTGCCACAGTAATGACAAACAGGCTTATACCCATGCCTCTTCAAACATAAGCAATCCTCCTAGCACTTCCAAAGCCATCCCCTATCTCTACCATGAAAATGACTATGAAGTTGCATAGGTAAATCAAAGCCAGGAAGACGAAGTTGAAAAGTTCCCCTTTACAACTACCAGAAATGAAAATTGGGCCCCATGGTTGATACAATTTCCTCTGAGACACATCTATTTCCAGCCTGTCTAAGATTTCTATTTAAGGTTTCTGTGGCTGGAAAAACCACAGACCGCCATAGATCACATCCCTTTTGTCATTTACAGAAATGCATGGGAAGACTTCTCTTGAATTGCAGGTGGGATAGAAGAAATTGGCCAAAATTATATCAAAACCTTCATGACTTCAAGGCTGAACACTAAGTGCTTGATATAAAGCTTGTAGTTGGAGGTATTTGGGAAGGACCAGCTCTTTCACTGAGTCATAAAGAAACTTAGAAGGAAGCTCATGCATGTGTCTCAAGTGCTTGCTGCTTCTTCCTGCAGATTTGACAGGTGTGTGGCTTCTACCAGGATAGTGACATCACTTTTCTCTTCATTCTCCGAAACACCTATTTATCATCTCCTATGGACCGAGAATGCATGGCCCGTGTAAATGCTCTATAAATAATGGCTGATGATGGTCATGAGCAGAAGAAAATTTTATTACTTATGATCACAGCCTTTCAGGGTTACAGGGGAGTTCCAAGATAATCACAAGCATTTGAAGTAGGTAGGATATATTTTTAATTTGGAAGAGAATACCATCCTAAATTTATATATAGATTGCTAGCCACCTACTACCCATGTCAGAAATGTCATTTTGGAGAATGTCTCTTTAGTACTTAGAATCCAACTTCCACAGAAGGAAAAAATCAGTCCTAGTTGTAGCAGTTCTATTCTTTTTTTTCATCCAAGAGAACAGTGTGTGAGCCAAGGGCAAAAGTGCTTGTTGAAGTTGCCATTTCACTTCAAAGAAATGAATAGTCAGGGGAATTCACAGAGGCAATTTATGGGAAGTTTGAACTCTAATAAATTCAATCTGTGAAAGAACTATTCCATGTGGTGTGTGTGTGTGTGTGTGTGTGTGTGTGTGTGTGTGTGAGATGTGTGTACGCATGTATGAGTATTCACACATGTGTGCATGCATGAACATAGAGGCCAGAGGTTGACTTCAGGTTACTTCCTCCATCACTATCCATGTTGCTTTTTGAGGCAGGGTCTCTCATTACATCTGGAGCTCATCAATTCATACTGGATGGCAAGCCCCAGGGATCCTTCTGGTTTTGCCTTCCACAGTGCTAGCTTCTGGCTCCTTTGAAAGAGCCTTAAACACTTTTATGGTGCCACCATACATTTAAATGGTGTTTATGAGCAGCTGACAGCATGCTTCTCGGTGGTCGAATGCACCTAGAAACTCCACAGAGTTGTGGCAATAAGCATGGCTCCCACCAGTACCTCCCCCATGAAGCTAGACTCCCAGGGAGCCATGAAATAGGATGGGGCCAGACACCTCTTTAATCCTTAGCCATGCTGTTTAGCAGAATAAAGACTCGTGAGGTCAGAAAAATAGAGGTATATAGTAAAGACAGATTCAGAAGAACAAAACTTCTAAACAGTTTAAAGTTTGTTTAAAAACATATGTAGGCTTTGGAGAGAAAATAAAAAGGATTTAAAAAGTCCTTAAAATAGAAATAGAGTATCTGGGCATGGTGGCACACATCTTTAATCCCAGTACTTGGGAGGCAGAGGCAGGCAGATCTCTATGATTCCAAGGTCAGCATGGTCTACAGAATGAGTTCCAGGACAGTCAATGATACACAGTGAAACCCTGTCTCAAAAAAACAAAAAAAAATAAAAGTAAAAAAATAAAATAATAAAAAAGCCATAAAAAATACACAGAGTCTGGATACTGTATGTTATTATGTTGTCTTTGAATTGTTTGATTGCTGAGAAAGGAACAATAACTGCTAAAAGACATTAGATTATACATGCTGCTGGATTAATCCAACTTATATATTTTGAAAATGCCTTACTTCAAAATTTAAGTCTAAGAACTTGTTGCTTTAGAAAAGAGGTTCTGCTTTTGTTTCCACAGAAGATGAAAACTGGGAATTCCTTCCAGACTAATATGGTTTCATTAAACAAGAACCCCTGATGCAGTGGCCCAGGTGATCCAACATTCAAAACAGCTGAGGTCATGCAGCCTCACAGACTACTACAACCAGGACTTGGGCATGGTTCTGGGTTTTCTCAAGATCCTCTTGGGATTGACAGTGCCCCCAAACAGCAGGTAGTAGTTTGGAGAGAACTATGCCCACATTCCCAAATGTTGTTTATAAATGTTTGTTTTCATTTAAATTGGGTTGGTTATAAATGGTTAATAATCACAGTCAATCTCTTTCTAAAGAAAAACAGAGAATATGATATGGAAATGAATACTTTGCATGGGTATGCATTTTGGTTTATTGATACAAATTTAAGGTCAGTTTGTTATATGTGTATTTCTACTCTTGTTTAAGTATTGTGTTTATACAGTTTTTTTTAATGTAATGTATAGTTAAATACAGATTATTGATAGTCACCTCTAATAGTCAAAACTTATGTTAGGTTTTCTAGATAAACAGATATATATTTCAAATGGATAGGTATTCTTCAAAACCTTTCAAAGAACTACAGCATATGGCATTTAAAATGCTTAATTAGAGTTTTTCATGACAAAGAGACACAATTGCTCCTAGCAACACCAATTATGTCAGAGAGGAAGATGGGCATCGAAGAAAGTCAATATAAAGTTTGCCTTAAATGTGGCAAAACTGGCCTATTGGGCAAAGAACTACCCTTACCTTAAATGCTGACAGTAATCATGCTGTCCAAACTGGATAAGCAGGTTACAAAGGAAAGTGACTTGCCAAGAGACAGGATGATCCTTCAGGGTTCCTGCTTTACAGAAGAAAGCAACTGATGAACTTTGTCAATGCAAGACAGAACAGATCTTCAAATTTCCTACACCATTAAAATATCTGCCAGACACTATGACTTATGGGCTGAAGATAGATGCCCCAACATTACAGAGAGACTTTGGTTGACTGTCCAGGAAGTGAGATGACTCTGTCAATTATAGAGTTTATATATTATCCTTCTGGGGTCTTTCATGGTGTTGAAGACAGATAATTATGATTATGGTTTTCTTTAGCTATGATAAAAGATAAGTTACTTATAAAACTTTAGACTCACAAAGACAGGATAGGTGATAAAACATTTTCTTTAAATTTTGCCAAATGTTAATGAACTAAATATTTTAACTATAATTCTTGCTTAATAACTGTTTTGTTATATATAATTTTACCATGTGGAAGTTAAAACCTTCCTTTTTATTTAGACAGAAAAGAGGAGATGATGGGAATGTCCTTCTGTATGCTGTGAATATATGTTTCTCTTATTGGTTGATGAATAAAGCTGTTTCAGCCAATGGACAGGCAATAGTCAGGTGGGAAATCCAAACAGGGATAAAGGCAGTAGGTGGAGATGCTATGTAACTACCAGGAAGGTAGGAGTTCCAGGCATTCTCTGGTAAGCCAAGACCACATCGAGATACATAGATTAATAGAAATGGGTTAATAATTAAGAGAGAGTTAGCCAATAATAAGCCTAAGCCATTGGCCAAACAGTTCATAATTAATATAAGCCTCTGTGTGTTTATTTGGGACTAAAAGGCTGCAGGACTTGGTGGGACAAAAACTTCTGTCTACAATCCGCAGCATATGCCACTGCAAGTGGCATTTTTACATGGATACTGGGGCTCAAACACAGGTATTCATTCTTGCATAGTCTTGTTTGTTTGTTTGTTTGTTTTTGGTTTTTTGAGACAGGGTTTCTCTGTGACTTTGGAGGCTGTCCTGGAAGCAGTTCTTGTAGACCAGGCTGGTCGGGAACTCACAGAGATTAGCCTGCCTCTTCCTCCTTAGTGCTGGGATTAAAGGCATGGGCCACTACTGCCCAGCTTGCATAGTCCTTTTTCAGAAATTATTTAAACTTGCATATGTCACAACAATTCAGCAAAGCAAGGCACAATATCAGAATATTGCCGACAAGCTAAACTTTCACAAGCCTAGAGACGAGGTTGTCTGTGACACAAATTCCTTTTCTTTTCCTGTGTTTAAAGCTAAACAGCCAAGACAAGGTCTGCTATGTGATATAGCCTCTGGGTCATCCTCCTTTGTGGCGATTCTACACACTAGATTCTTCCAAGCCGGATCATGATGGCAGTATAAATTCAGGTGGCCCTGATACACACTTACCCCAAGCTCTAGAGGAGAGCAATGCTGCCTGCTATGGGCATTAAAGAAATCATTAGATTACAATTTGACCCATCAATTCCATTGCCATGCAAGGTAGGCCAAAAGAAGAGGTATCTGCACCCCATATTCACTGAAGCATTATTCGCAAGAATCACATCATAGAACAAACCTAAATGAATCTCAAATTCAGGAAGAGGTAAGGAAAATGCTGGTCTGAAGACACACACTGAAATGTCATTCAGTTGCTTAACAAGCAAATTAGGGATAGCACACTAAACAAAGTAACTCAGGCCTGGGGAAACAAACATCTTATGTCTTTACTTACATTTTGAGATCTTAAAAAGTTGAGCTCATAGATGCTAGTGACCAGAAGTTAGGAAGTAGAAGGAATGGAAAGATGTTGACCAAAAGGTACAAAGTTGCAATGACACAGGAGGAATAAATGACAATATCTGAGGTGACAGATATATTGAGTCAATCATTCCACATTGTGTGCCTATGGCATCATCACTATTCACTTGATAATTACATACATGATAATTTTCCAATATACAATTGAAAAATGCATAAAAGAAATTATTGGGAGGACAGTGGAAAACTCCCAGAATCCATGGAGAGGCTGTAGAGGCAGAGGACATTATTGGTATACAGACAGCAGGAATCAAGCTAAGATCATGTCACAGGTGGTCTCCTCTTAAGTCATGGATTTAAATCACTCAAAATTCAGTCTGTGGTAAGAGCCCAAACTTGGCCATCCTTGGACTGGTACCCTGGCTGTCTGGGGGCATTTTTAAAGCCTATAGTGGCAATGGGCCTCACTGTCTCTCAAGGTTCAGATGTCTCCATAATGAAGCATTATAGTATTAATTTTATTAGCTAAAATTTAAAGGGGGGAGAGATTCCAAGTGGTTCTTAATTAGCAATCCAGATGATATTAATGGGATCTTTCTCTTCAGTATCCCCCAAACTCTGAGGCTCTGTTCTCCCAGAATTCCCTTGGATTTCAGTGATTTGGGGTAACTCTTTCCCCTTGTCTATGCTTCCAAGCCACAAAGTAAGAAACTCTTGACCAGAGACTGTGAAAACTGAAAGTCTGCCCCATTTCCCTGAGAGTGGTTTTAATGAGTCACTTGCTAATAAAATGAAACTCTCAGCTCAAATTAAATATGTGCAGAGCCAAGTAAACTTCACACAGCAAACTGGCCTTGATTTACAGCAAGGAATAACAATAGGCATCACTTCACACCATCTCCCATGCCTGCCCTCTTACAGGATTCCTCACAAAGTCTGAGATTTGTAAATGTTGCTGCCCTGATGAATGAGTGGATGGCTGTTCCCTTGAGACCCAGCCCTCCAGAGTGGAGCTGATCAGTCCAGTGGTTTTGAGGAAGTTGACTTTGGGAATGAATGTTAACAGAAATGCATAAAGGGAACATTGATGAAATAGAAAACTACCTTAAACTTCCAAGTCATCCTTTACAAAGGAGTTTCCGGTACACTAAACTTCCAGTAGCATCCGTTGTGTGAGCATCCTGATGACTCTTCTTTAGACAAGACTATTTCAAGCTCGGAGTTTAAGCAATTAGTTTAAGAAGCATGAGCTTCCCCAATCTAGGTCCCTTAATTCCAGTGAAAATCCTGCTGTGTTTTAAGACCAGATGCTCTTGTGTAGAGGAACCTGTGCCTCAGTGCCATTACTGGTTGGGCAAAAAGCCCTGTGATCAGCCCCTGGAGATGAGATATGGGCCTACACTACCCCAGTGGTGATGCCAAAGAGAGAGCTGCTTGGGACACAAAAGGAGGGGGCATTTCTGCTCTTGCAGATGAGACCCAGAGGGTCATTGTTGCTGCTGGATACTATGGCAGTCTACTGAAAGCCATGACCAGACCAGCAAGTCTGTTCTGCCTTGAGAAGAAAAGCTACCTCTTATTAAGATGTGCTGAATACACGTGTGCATGGGACTACAGATTCCATTGCATTGAAAGGAGTCTAACTCTGGACTCAGAAGGTCCAAGGTGAGGCATGCAGGTGTGTCTCTAGGCTCTACCAGATTTTCAAGACAAATAGAAGAGACACAGCTTAGGTAACTGGTTCTAAGAGCACAAGACCAGGCTTTACCTCCTGCCCCGGGAAATCTGAATCAATGCAGCTGCTCCAAATGCTTTGAGCTTGAAGCAAGGCCTTGGTAGCAACACTTCCCCAAAACATAAGATCAGCCAAACAATCGACCCACTCTGCAAACAGAAACAACAGAAAAAAATGCTGAGACAATGGGCTTATCAAGAATCCACTTTATCAGCTCTCTTACTAGTGTTGACAGCCTTGGCATAGCTCAAAACCCGCTCCTGGCTATAAGCTTACTAAAAAGCAGCTCAACCCAGCCAGGGCTCTGTTGAGATTAATAGGAAGGTACAGCTTTAAACTGTTGATGTTGCAAACCCCGGAGGCAGTAGTCTGGTTATGTTCATAAGGTCACTGGGCTGACCTACTGGCATGGACTGATGGCATTATTCTCTCCTCGGCACCACATACAAAGGCCTCGAATCTGTAGCTTGACATTCACCATGGTGTGAGTATTTACATCATGGAAATACGTAAAGGCCACAAGTCAAAACCTTAATTTCCATGGAGTTGGTTATAAAACAGTTACTCATGTGTCCCTTTCCCTCACTAAACAGTCCCTTTGTATGTCATAGAGGCAACTAGAAGGTCTGTGGAAATCACCCTTAATTTCTCCTCTCTCCTATAGAATGGGTAACTACTGTTTTGAGTTCAGCAATAAGATCTCTTTCTCTGTAATCAAGAAAACACATAGTACTGGAAAAGTCAACACCCTAAGACACTCTTTGTGGAAGTGATCTTATTTTGTGCTTTTAATCTCAGGGCCGGGATGTACTGAGTTTAGTGATCCAAATATACACAACGAAGGTGCTAAATGTCCAGCTGACTTTCAAAGGCCAAAGTCAACAACTTTTTTGTACATTGCACAATGTCAAACACTCAAATGTTTGTTCATTTGAAGACTGGGATGAAGCAATGGTGATAATTTAGTTCATCTGTAGACCCCCAAAACAATGGGCAAATATGTTGTTCTTCATTCACAACCCATTGGCAAGTACAGCACAGAACAGAACCCAGACTGGGCTTGGTGTTTACAATAACTTTCAATATCTCCAATAACTTACACCTCTGCACTTACTAAGTGCACTAGTGGTTTCTGAGACCTGTCCTGCAAGACCAGAGGATTTCTGTTGGGACCTTCTGTGGGGACACTGCTCTGTTGCCAGTACTCGTAGTAGCCTTGGCACTGTGCCATTGTCTATAGAGGGAAGTTAAGGAAATGGCTCCTCTTCCAGTTTTCTATTCCATTTCCTAAACAGCGGGTTCCACACTGTCCTTGATTTGGAATTCAAACATCTCTCTGAGAAGTTTTCAAAAGTACTTCAACTTAAGAATTGGCCACTGCTCTTACTCACTGTCTCTCTTGCCTTCCTCTCTCTCCTTACTCTCTCTCTCTCTCAGTCTCTCTCACTGACCCCCTCCCCACCTGGAATAAACTATAGTTAATGTATATCTCATTCTCACATCTCATCTTTCGCCTTTTTATATTTTTAAACTTAAACAAGATAACAACATTTGGCGCCCAATGGAACCCAGGATAGGCTGTCTCCATAACCTCTCCTGCCACCCAGTGGCAGGGGTGTGGGAACTTTCTGGGATCCTAGAACCCAAACAACCCACTTTACATTTCACCCATTCAGCGGCTATGATTTGGTTTTTCCTGGCATTTCCTCCTGCCTGTGGCGGCCTGAGATGCCAGAACCCTGTAAACTTCAACTCGCTTTTTCAACTAAAGATCTCTGGATTCTTCCATCCACCACCACCACGTCTGCATGTCTGTCTGCTTTTTATAACAGAGAGATAGGCCAGCTGCTGGCTCCACCCCATTTCCTCCAAGAAGACTGGTGGGCACTGAAGAAACTCCAGCCACAAAAATGGCAACACTAGTTGCTGAGCAACCCTGTCCTTCACCTCAACTGCTGCAAAGGACTCTTCAGATGGTGGACAGGAGGACAGTGGAATCAACTTTCCCCACATTGCTTGGATCAATATGGTAGGCAAGTCTTCCTAAAGTCCCTAATCCACAGGTCACCTGCTATCAGCAAAAAGGTGGGTGTTCTGTTGCCCACAACCATGGAGGACCTTGGGGGTGGCTGTCCATGCAGCCTGCTGGCAAGTCTCTGTTATTCTTTAATCATTAACTCAGGTAAAAATTTATCCTTCTTAAGAACTCTGACACTTTTGATGACTGGTAGTCTTGTCAGCTTAAAGCAGAACAGGTTTCAGGAACAGGTATTTTAAGGTTTACATTCAAAAGAATGAAACATGTTCTGTATTTCTTTTTCATTATGCTACTGTTCATAGTCAATAAAGTTCTACAATACCACTATATGATCATAACTACAAGGTCAAGATTAAGGTACCTTTCATTGCCGTAAACATATCTGTCAGTTTTAAAAATGCTAATGCTTTCAGCCAAGTCTCTTCTAACATGAATACACTGCTAATGTGTCTTATAAGTTCCAGGGAGCCAAATTGGACCCATTCAAACAGGTCAGATTCACTCCAGATATTCAACTCTGGTCCTGGACTTCCTTCCCTCATCTTGGGATCCCTTGGGAACCCCTCTCTCATCTTACAATCTTCCCTTCAAGTACCAGGGCCTAAGAAAAGAATTTTTTCTAACCTTAACCTTGTCCTCTACTCTGCTAACATCTTGCCAGGTCTAAGAGGCACCAGAGAGTTCTATACAGCCTGGACCTTGATGAAACAACCAGCTACCCCAGGATGTGGTAACACCCCAGCTTTCTCAGGTCCCATAAAGATGGTCAGTGCCCCCCAGGTCAGCAGGAAGCAGTCTTGAGAACTTGATGACCTTATTCCCTAACATGCCATGTCTAACACCCACCTTTTTAATACTAAGTAAAGGTAGGAATGAAAAGTTTGGGCATTAGGCTGACCTGGCCCTGTCACCTGGCAGAATCCACTCAGACAGTACTCTGGTCAGCCCAGGGTTCCATGGGAACTGAGTCTACATGCAGGTGTAAAGGACCCCTTTAAAAGATAGACCCCTGACCACTAATGCTCTCTTACTCTCTTCTCTCTCTTGCCTTCCTCTCTCTCCTCTCTCTCTTCTCTTATTCACTGATTCTCTCCTTGCTCTCTTACTCTCTCTGTCTATCTCTGTCTCTCTCTCTCTCTGTCTCTCTCTCTCTCTCTCTCTCTCTCTCTCTCTCTCTCTCTCTCTCTCTGTCTCATCTCTCCTGATCTCCCTTTCCCCACCTGAATATACTATGGTTAATGTAAAAAAAAGAACTGGCCACCACCATGTTACTGGCTTTATTGACATCCTAAAACAAAATGTGTTCTACATTTTTGTAAAACAACAACAACAACAAAACAAAAACATAACCACCAAAAACAAAACAAGTCCTTTTGAATATTGCTGGAGCAGAGAGAAGACAGTGTAACAGGAAGTAAAGTAGTGTTTTCCTTATGGCCTAAAACTGAGAAACAAAAAGATATGTGCCATTCAGATGATTTTTTTAACTAACCAAAAACGCATCTAAAGTGACTTAACCATTAGAACTGTTTTGACTCAAATAATAAGACCATGTGTATCACATCACACTCATTAGCACAGATATAATGCTCCCTGGAACTATTACCAAAAAGATAAAAAGTTAAGTGTCAGCAGGCCTATGAGGAAGGAACCCTTCCATGTATTAGTGTTTGGGAATCTGTCATGATAGCTGGGATGGCTGATGCGGTCCCAGGGCTGTTGAGTGAATCTAGACTGAGGACAATGTTTGAAGGCAGAAAGAGGCCTCCTTTCTCATTATCTGTCTTGAGGTGTTTTGCTTAAATCCAGGTCTCAATTCTTTAGAAAAAATGAATTATCATGATTGCCTTAAAATAGTGAGACCATCCATCCACCCCATCCCCTCATGTGCAAACATCTTGAACTAAATTCATCTAAGGTGTGTGACTGTGTGGACAGCTTGAATACTCACACATCTCTGTGTGGGACAAGCTTGAATACTCGTGTGTGGCTGTGTAGATGACTTGGATACTTACAATAAATAGTGTTCTCTCAGAAAGGTCAAGAGCAAGAATATTTACGCTGGTTGCATAACCCCTGGGATCAGCTAATGTGACCTCATTCCTACCCAGAGCAGCACCAGCCTCAGGCCCCACCTCCCTAGAAAGGCCACTAGGAGGTGCTTGGCTTCCATTACTTTACCAGTCAATACAAAGGAAAGGAAGGTGGTGGGATAGCTAGAGGTACAAGAGAAGCCTTCCCCACAACTCAACTCACGTGAGCAGTGTGCTTGTTGTCATTAGAGCTTGTCTAAAGAGAAGACAGTAAAACAAATTGCTGAAAGAAGAGGTACCACTGAGACAGATCACTTTCTCACATGCCAGTATGGCAAGCATCCTTCAGTCTTCTAGGGGTGGAGTTCAGGAAACCAACAGGCTTGGATTTCTTGTCAGTGCTCTGTCTTCACAGGGTCTGGCATGGGGCAAATATCCAAGCAATAAGGGGTTAAGATGTGATGGAGGAATTGGTACTGAGTCAAGTGGTGATCTGCAGCAAGTTAGTGAGACTCCAAGTATCCCGTGCAGCAAGGCTGGGGAGGAAACTGTCTTCTTGCCATGAAACAACCATTGTTTCCCTATCTCACTATGCCTGGAAGAGGAAAGGAATAGGTAAAACAGATCCCTCTAAGCATCAAGACTCAAAGTCTACATTGGCTCAAAGGGAGGTCCTTGAATCATACGGATGCTGATATTTACTCAATAGACAACTAGGTTTGTTTAAATAGCAGGATGTGTTGCCGAGATATTATAGAATCTAGACAATGCCTTGTGGAATTCTCTGCATCAAGAAGGAGACAATGCAGTATAGCTGAGGGTTATTGGAGGCAATTTTCTTCATTTTATACCAACTTGCGACTGCATAGTGAACACATCCTATACAGAAGGAAGGTGAGTTGTGGCCCAACTCAAAGCTTCAAAAATATCCGTGTTCCATTTCTGGCCTGTTCTCAATTGATGTTACCGAGGGTGGATAAAAATGAAGCCTTATTAATAAATTTCAAGGAGGAGAAAGCCTAGCATCTCAGTTCTGTGAATAAGGAAGGAAATATTCACGCAGAATGTAAAGTTAGGGTCTCTGCAGAAGATACTCAACCTGTGGACTTCAGACCTCCAGCAGGGTGATTTTCAATTCTTCAAATCAGCATGCCTGAAAACCGGACAGCCAGAGCCAATACAGCAGATGAAGTTGAGAACAGCAAGGTCTACACAAGGATGTCTTCACACTTGAACAATGGGAAGCCTTTGAAGCAGAATCCTTCATTTGGAGAAGCTGATCTCACTGCTGTGTGAGAAACAGAATGGAAGGGTCCTAGGAGGGGAGCTGTTGGCATGTTACCACTGTAGGTACAAATGACAGGTTTCACCTTTTTATGCCAAACAGCATCACACTATTTATGGTTATTGCATTTTCTTAATACATTCGTTGCTAAACCATCACTTATGTTGATTCCATACTTTGGCTATTATATTCTAAATAGTGCTGCAATGAATTTGGGAGCATGATGTCTTGATGTACTAATTTTATTTCCTTTGTGTATATGCTGAGAAGTGCATCTGATCATATGATAGGTTTATTTCTAGACTTCTGTGAGAATTCTATGTTGATTTCTGTAACAATATAGTAATTTTCAATCCCACCACCATCTTGTGGAGTATCCTTTTCTTCCATCCTCATCAGCACTTGTTTTCTTTGGTCTTTTTGATAATCACTATTCTAACAGGCTCAAATAAGGCGGTATCTCATTGAGATTGGTTTTGAATATTTCACCACTAAAAAAATGATAACTAGGTGGCTGGAGAGATAGCTCAGTGGTTAAGAGCCTTTGTTGCTCTCCCAGAGGACCTGGGTTCAGTTTCCAGCACCCACATTGGATCTCTCACACCTGCCTGCAATGACAGCTCCAAAGGATCCTCTGAGGTTACCTACATGTACTCAGCATACACATAAATTTAAAAGCATAGAGATAAATCTTAAAAAATAAAATATTTTTAAAGAAATGATAAATACATGCAGTGACAAATCTGCTCATTGTTCCTACTTGATCATTACCCAAATCTATACACATATTGAAATATCACATTGTACCCATAAATTGGTAAAATTATTGTTAAAAGAAACTTAAGGAAAAAAACCAATAGTGCTTAGGAATAGAAAGGCACAATGAACCTAGAGAGAGGTGAACATAGACAAGATATTTTAAGAACTACAAAGAGACCAAATAGGGGCTTCGTAGGAGTTACAAGTGACTTTCAGGTTTTTTAGCACATGGGTAAATGATACCATTTTCCAGAACCTAGAATACTAGAATGGATCAAGCTGCAAGGAAACTAAAGTCAGTTTTTGAATATGGTTTGTTAGGTACCTAAGAAGTCTGTGTGAATAAATGACCAGAAGTAAGCTATTGGATAGATACCAGCATGTGTAACATACTTAAATACAAGTTTGAAGTCACGGCAAGACATACTTGCCTAGGGAGAAAATATACAAGGAGAAGAGCTTGACGGTTGCTTAGAGGTAAGAAAAACTGACAAATAATGTGAGACAGATTACTCGGGAACAGGAGATGTGCCCCCAAACCTTCCTCATTAGGTGGGGACATTCTTCAGTGTGAACGTGTACTGGGGACTCAACCTTCGGCTTCACACATTCCAAGCAAGGCTTGTGCTCCCCAACTATAGTCCCAGTCCTAGTAGGGACATGTCTTCTGAAAAATGAATCCACTGACTTCTATTTATAAAGTCCGGGATCCATTCCTAGCTGAAGAACACAAACGGTAATACAATGTATGCACCGCAGAATCCAAACAGGAGAAACAGCACGAATACTGCATTGGTGTCCACTGCTCTCCATCGTCAACCACTTTGACACTGGTGTGTGGAAGGAAGCCTTGCACTCAGAAGGCTTTCTAATCACAGAAGGTTCGAAACCAGATGCTGCAGAGGCCAAATGTGACCACAAGCCAGAGCACTGCTGTGCAATTTGATTTTGCAACCTCAAGAGGAAGAAACTGGATTTGGTCCAGATTTTGCTGAATTGTTTCAGATTTTTAGGGTTTTTTTTTTTCCCCCTCCACTAAAATGATGAACATTTTAGCCCTAATGAAAAAGCCTCAACCCTCATGATGTTGTTTAAAGCAATGAACAAGATTTTCAAATTGCTTTGATTATTGTACCCACAGTGGCAGAGCACTCCTTACCTGAGGCTGGAACTTTTCCTCCCTGCAAACTGTTTCTGTAAGAAATGCTGCCACCTAGCACTCAGTGGGGGAATCACAACGGTCGGTAGGTAATCGCTTTATGTGTGGGATTCAAGATTTGTGTGGGACCTTGTGCATGTGAGATGATTTCTGAACGGCACTTTAAACGTGGAGTTAGTTACTTTTTACAAGTGACTTCTCCGAAAGTAGAGGTCTTGGGATCATTGCATGGCAAACAGTAGGTTTTTGGAAGCAGTCCATTCGAGGGGGAAATGATGGCCAATGTCAATGTTAATATTCGTCCAGACATACCCAACAGCTCCCATTAAATATGTGCAGTCCTTTGCACACCAGTTATAACACAGTAGGGTTGTCTAAAATCTACTAGAAGTAAGAAAATTATAACAAAAAAGAACACTCCCTTTGTAGACCTGCAGTACATTTATAACAAATACGAATTTCTCCAGGTGTCTTTTGGGGGGGAATTAAGAGAGTGTGATAGGTTCTTCTTGAAGAGGGACAGCTTTTTATCCAGAGGACTTCTGCAAACATGAAGGTGTCCAGTGTGAACCTGTGACATCTTAACTCATGTGTGTGTGTGTGTGTGTGGGGGGTGACTCACAGTCTAAACCACAGCCATTCCATCATATGTTTTAATATTTGTGTTTTCACAAAGGTGAAAAACAAAATCTGTCCATAATTGAATGGAATCTGCCCAGAGATTTAGAAGCACTTTCTAAATTATGATATAGTCCACATGACTCTCTGGGATGGTGTAGCTGGTCCTAGTTCCACCGTCACTGTCACAAGAGGCACTAGCTTGGAGAAATCAGAGACCTAGTAAGCGCTGGTGTTGGGGTGGCACACAGGGCTTCCCCCCTAGGTTGCAAAGCTTTGCTATCTTGCCAAAAGGTATATGGAGGCAAATAGGTGGCAGATGGGCAGCAGATGAAAAAACATTTGTTCACAAAATAAAGTCAGTCTCTGTTTCCTAGCTAAGTGGAGTGGAATGAGGGGAAAAAATTTTAAATGCTTTTTTAATTTTGTCACAGTGACATTTAGCCCTAGTTATTTAGTTATTTAGCCCTCTTTAAAAGTGAAAGGAACTTTCATCATCAGTCATTTGAAACTCTGGTGTGCCTGATGACTGACAACCTATACCAGCAGATGCTTTGTCACCTTTGCCATCTCCCGACTTCAAAAGTGCATTCCACTTTTCAGTGACTCCACAGAGCACCCTGGCTGCAGACCCTACTCTGCATTAGGTGGTTAGGGCACTCTGTCCTGTCTGTCCTCTGTCACTGGAGTTTCTGTGCATCACACTGAAAGGACAACTTATGCAAATGAACTCTGAAAGTGATTTGAATATGCATAGGGCCCCACTGAAAGGCAGGCCATAGCACACTGCAGCTTGTGGTCCAGGGTCTGCCAGACTCTGCCTCTCAGGCTTTAAAATGTTCTCAACTTCCTGAGAAACTTGTTAAAAGACAGGCCCTGGGGGTGTGCTTGCTTTATGTTGTTGTTGGTGGTGGTGGTGATGGTGGTACTAGGGGTTAGACGTCCCATGCATGACAGGAAAACGTGGCCACTGAGGTATATCTTCAGCTTGATTTGTGACCTTCAATTATTTTGAGATCCAGTCCCATTTCACTGCCCAGACAGGTCTGGAATTCAACTTGACTCCTCAGACTGGCCTTGAAATTTAAATCCTCCTGCTTTGGGCTCCTGAGTTTCTGGGATTATAGGCCTGCCAGCCAGCAGACCCCTTTAAACTGGTTCTTATGTTAAACTGATGATGCCAGTTTGTAGACAACAAACTAAGGTCCAAGATAGGAAGAGTCCCAGTCCTAATGTGTCTCGAGTGAGAGAATCTGATTTATTACGAGGTCAAGGAGAAAACTTTTCCTTACTTTTCTGATTTCCTCCACATTTCGGATGCATCTGTGTTTCTTAATAAAGACACCTGTAAAGTTGTTTTAAAAATAAAGTTCTTTGGCCTTGCTGAGGAGATAGTTCGGCAAGCCTGACTACCTGAGTTCAATTCCTGGGACCCACATGGTAGGAAAGAACCAATTCCTGCAAGTTGTCTTCTGACGTCTGCACATGTGCCAGGCTACAAACATGCCTACACACACCCATGAGCATGTGCACGGGTGCTCACACACACACACACACAGGGAGGGGGTAGAGCAACAACAACTTAAAATTTTAAAATAGAATGTTTTCATCTAGCCCTATCAGTTCAAATTTCTTATTCCCGGGTTTCTCAGATTTTAGAGTACGTACCTCTACTCTAAATGATATTAGAGAATCTAGATTCTGGAACCATCCGGCCACCAGAACTGTCCAACCAATCCCATCTTGAGGCAAAACAGATAGCATAAAATAAAGGCAGAATTCTGAGTTTGAAGGGACTAAAGTCAGACTCGGGATTCTCTGGACTTGCCTTTCAAGCCTGGTGGCTCTATTAATCAAAGCTGCTAGATTTCTGATCATTTAGAATTATTTCATTCAGTGAAAGTAAATGGAAGCAGGACACAATGCATGAACTACTAGAAAATATGTTGTCACACACTCAAAGGGAAAAACTTGAGTTGGGAGTGTAGCCCAATGATAGAACACTGGTCTAGTATGGTCAAGGCCCTGGATCATTCGATTCCCACTACAGGGTGGGGAGGGGACTTTCAAATAGCTAGACCTGCCAGAAAGACAAGATGGTCTAGACTGTAAGTTTCCTATTCGACCCAATGTGTGCATGCAGTCATGAATGCCTCAATTCTGTTTTTTTTGTTTGTTTGTTTGCTTGTTTTGTTTTGTTTTTCGAGACAGGGTTTCTCTGTGTAGCTTTAGAGCCTATCCTGGCACTCGCTCTGGAGACCAGGCTGGCTCGACCTCACAGAGATCCCCTGCCTCTGCCTCCCAAGTGCTGGGATTAAAGGCGTGCGCCACCAACGCCCAGTGGAAGAACTTCTTGTTGCACAAAGGGTTCTCTTTCTGTCTCTGTCTCTCTCACACAACTCACACACACACAAACACCCAACACTCACACCCACACACACACACACACACGCACACGCACACGCACATGCACATGCACATGTGAACACATACGCACACATGAGTGCATACAAGTACACGCGCACACACGTACACACACCCATACATAATGGAACACTGAGGACACTGAGCCTTCAGTAATTGACGCATAGCACCACATTATTTAGAAAGTCACTCAAGAAAACTAAACTTGATTTCTTGGTGATCCAAGGTGTGTGATACAGCTATACTTATCCAGGTCAGTTCATTTGCGTGCAGAACCAGGCTTAGCCATTACACAAATACTTTCCTTAAGACCAAAGAACCCATAGACAACTGGGTAGAGCTATAGGCTAATTGTTTCCTTGGTAGTATCCAAGCCAAGCCTCACGGGTGCTTAAGTTGAAGAGTTAACGTACAAGGTCCCACAACTGATGCCCTGAGTCTTTACTGACACACGGCTCTTGGCTTACTAACTTTCAAGTGCAGCCACAAAGATGTTGATCTCAAAGCTGTTCCCTTTCATCATGACACAGGTACGCCAAGAACCACACACATATTTTCCCCTCTCAAGATTTTCATTGTATGTAACCATTATCTCAGATAGTAAAATGAGGAGGTGGAAAAGTTTGGTAGCAAAGTCTATGGCACAGCCAGCTTGAGGATCTCTAAATAAAGGAGTGTCTGCCAGGTGTATAAATACTGACTGAGCATGTACCAAGGGTAAACACTTTTGCAAGGGCTGGGGACACAATGAAATGATGCACGGAGGTCCTAGTGTCACAGAGCTTCTATTTGAATGTATGGAGAAACTTGATAGACCCTCCACTGTGGGAAGCAATCAAAGCCACAATCACCAGTCTCACTCCTAGAGTGTACCTTATGGCCTGGGCAGGGGTTCTGTCATAGACTGTTCATCTAGCCTCTTCTAGACCATGGGTTTGATCTCTAGCACTAAAAAAAGAGAGTACTTGGTGGAGGGGTTGGGATGGGGGTCTCCAAACTAACACCATTCTCCTGTGTTTTCCACCCTCAAATTTCCACAGCATCTCTGACATTTTAAATCTGCATTTTCAAGAAATAATTTGCTATACTAACAGTGCTCTATGGCAAAGTCATAAATTTTGCAAGATGAATTTCTTTTTCTGTAAAGGCAAACTCAGCAATCTTCGGGGAATTTGAAAACTGACAGTGCAGCTGACCTACTGGAGAGAGAGGCAGTGGGAGGGCCCTCCTGGTATAAATAAATAAGAGTCTGGAGCTGGGAACCCACGGCTTGGACTCAGAGTTGAAGGTTGAACTCCACCTCCAGGCAGAATGAGGCTCAGCATAGCAGCCCTGCTTCTCCTGCTTGCCAGCTGCCTCTCTCCAGGCTACGGTGAGAACTTTCACTTATGATTTCACTAGCCTTTGAACAGAAATGGTCCTTACCATTTCTTCTTCAATTAAAACTGGGAAGGAAGTCTTAGAAAAGCGGGGGAAATGCTCGGCTGCTACTAGATTTTGAAGTGTGAGATGTTCAGGGATTTAACTCCTTAAAAATGGAAGTTTCCAAAGTGTTAATATTATTTATAGAAAAGGAGGTACTGGACGGTGAGTGTTCATAGGACTTATGTTTAGTGCGTGCATTGCTAGGCTGTTAGCTCATCCCCCTACAGGAAAACTTTTTTGCATGGCTCTTGTCTGCTCTGCCTCTTAATGCCTCTTGTTGTCAAACTTTGGTCTCTCAGTCCAACATTCCCAGTACAGTTGCACGTGCTAAGGCCTGACACTCTAAATAAAGCAGAGGCAAGAAGCTGGCTTCAGCCTGAATGGGGCAGCTGCCTGTGTGAATGGATCAATTCTTCACGGAAGTGGCAAGTTGTATATACAGCTGAAGGGTTGGATGCGTGGGCAGAAAGAAGCTCTCGTGTTTACAGGACAGATAATTACTCTTAAGATGTGGAAGTCCTCACACCCCCATTTTTACTCTTCACATACTGTTTTCACTCTTCAAAACTCATTTCTCTCCTCTCTCAGGAAGCTTTCTTGCTGCTGGTTAGCCTCTTGGAAATGCTCTGTCCTAAGCATACAGTTTGTGTGTAATGCTACCTCAGTGGCTGTCTAATTATTGTTCCCTTGTTCAGCCCACAAAACTGTAAACACCTTGGGAACTTGACACTTTTACTTATACAAAGGATTTGCTAAATATGTTTTGTTTGTTCTGTTTTGTTTTGGGAGACAAGGTCTCAGTAAGCAGCTTTGAACTTATAAATATCATCCTTTGTCAGTCTCTCAAATGCTTGGATTGCATTAAAAAAGCTTAGACTTCATGAAAATGCATGAGATGAATTACCAATAAAATGTTTATAAATAGTAAGTATTGTGGTTGAATACAGCCTCGATTTTTTAAAAAAGATTTATTTATTATGTATACAGTGTTCTGCCTGCACATCAGAAGAGGGCACCAGATCTCATTATAGATGGTTGAAAGCCACCATGTGGTTGCTGGGAATTGAACTCAGGATCTCTGGAAGAACAGCCAGTGCTCTTAACCTCTGAGCAATCTCTCTAGCCCCAGTCTCAAATTTTTATTATTCGTTTTTGATTGGTAATAATTTATGTCTAAGATCGAGAACCAAGATATTGAACATAAATGAAGAAGCATCCTCCATGTGCTGAGGTAGAGAGGCAGGGAGGGTGGAGGGGTATGCTAAGAGAAAGGACTCTGAGAGATGTTTAAAGTATCCACCAATCTTCAGCAGGACAATGAACTCTGCTTTTGGGTTGGGAGTGGATTCAGTTGATTTCACATCACATTAGTTGTAACATAGTTGTATGTCCCTGAAGCATTAGTTGTCAAATCACCTGAGTGCCAACATAATAGGACAGTCAATGAATGTTACGATTTTGAAAAGCTAAGTTCACTTCAATTAAGGTTTTGGTGGAAAGCATTTATAAACATGCAAGGCAAAACAAACAGAAATATACAAACTAAAAGTATATGCAGCTGGAAGTGTTGGCTTGAAATGTTTGCCTCTTCAAATTCATGATATTAAAGATTTATCATTCAGTTCTGCTTCTAAGTTATAGGCCCAATGGGTTGAAGTGACTGATTCTGCACTTACAGGTATCCTGGAGGCCAATTACACAAACTTAAAGTGTAGATGTGCCGGAATAGTCTCAGGCGTTATCCATCCAAGCTTCATAGAACGGATTCAAATCAGACCTCGTGGGAATGGCTGCCCAAAGGATGAAGTCCTGTAAGTTTCAAGAAAAAAAGTATTATGTATCTCTTTTGCTGAGTGAAAAGCAGATGAAATATATCTGTAATTACCAATAGTATGGTACCAAGGTCTCAGAGACCAGTTTGATGTTGCTAAGTATCTGAGGTTAATAAATGAAAATTTGTAATATTTAAGGACTTGTTTTCAGCCATCCAAAACTGTAACCATTGCTCACTCATTTTATTTCTCAAGCTGTTCCACCGAGGTCTGTCTGTTGTGGTTACAGAGGCTGGAAGTGGGGGTTAAGGTTAACTCACTGAGGCATCAGTAGGCTAACCTGCCTACAGCATCCCTAGACAGGGATGGAGTCAGGAGTCCCTATTCTACATAACCCTGAAGGATGCTTACACAGAGCCTCCTCGTTCTCCATGTTGGAACCTCACTTTTATTGGCCGCTCTTCCCACAGTTGCCCTTTGCCTCCTTCAGCTTGCTTCTTTTCCTCCCCTTCATTCATCTCTGTGGACAGTGCTATGGAGGAGACACAGGACCTCATAGACCTCAGAGCACATTTCTGCATTTAAGCTACACTCCCCGCCCTCAAGAACTTCCTCCAGCTTTGGAAAGTTTGTTTGTTCCACTTTGAAACAAATGCTTTGTAGCTGGAATCAGATGTGTTTGACTTGCAAAGTAGAAATACAGGTTTTCAAAAATGTGTGAAATGTTTTCACTATGATGGCATGATACTTTTACCAATGTCTCTACCAATGAGAGTTCTAAATAAGCCACAGTTACTTCCTTCGATCTCCACAGTAGTCTAGTCATGGGGCCTAATGGAGGGACTGAGCAGGAGAACTCTTAACTTTCAGCAGCATTCTCCCTTGAGTCAATGCTCTCACCTCTCGATCAATGGAAGTAACACACCCTAGTTGTCTCTGCTTACCTAACACCAATTGTTTGGAAACAATGAAAGTTTTGGTGTATGTCTTCTTGCAAAATTCAGCATTTTTTGAGCATTAAACAGATACAGGAATAAAAGCTGCAAGTTATTGTGAGAAATCCACTAGTCAGCAATGAAAATACCAGTTGGCATAAATATGTTTTGCCATTATGATTCTAAAATCAACCTGGCAGATGCTGTCTTGAGGACCCACTTCTCACTTCTCTGAGATTCACCTAAAGAGGTAGAAATTCAAACTTAGAGAGGATGGCTCCTTGTTCTTTGTTGGATTATACATCTGATACATCAAGAAAATGTATTTTGTTTAAGGTCACACAAATTAGTGTTTACAGTCTCCTGTTTTTCTATTGCTTGGGAGATCTTTCTTTTCTGTTGTGGGGAGAAACCTTAATGCCATGTCTGGAACTTGATAACTATTCAGATCATAACTCCTGGAGAGTGGTTGCTAAAAGTGTGGGTTCTGGAGTCAGACAACCTTTACAGTAGCTCAAGTAATCCTGCTGTATGTACATTTGCAGTACAATCTTGGACTTGTTTAAAGTCTCTGAGCATCAAGTACATCAGATGGAGAGAAAGTCTAGTTCTTCTAGAACTGGGCTTGTGTGGGATGAATTGAGGGAACCACGTGACTTGTTGAGCTTCATGTATGGCGCACAGTGAGGACATTTGACAAACATTGCCCATTAGTTATGAGAGATGACTTTGTTGTTGATTAATTTCTTAGATCAGGAAAAGCCTTGACAATGTGGCTTGGAGAAGAGTCACTGAGACCAACCTGCTTTGAAACTTCTTCCATGTTTAAATATATTCAAGTTTTTCAGATAAAACATTTTCAAGATAATATTTTCTAGTCCATTATTTTTTCTTCTGAGCTCAATGGCCAAAGCATTTGAATGATACTGGGGTATAAGTTTAGAAGTGACCCGACTTTGGAGTCTGCTATTTGGCCCTTCTCAAACTCATACAAAGATTATCAACAAGACAGTCTTTTAGCCCGGCGTTTGTGGTGCATGCCTTTAATCCCAGCACTCGGGAGGCAGAGACAGGTGGATCTCTGTGAGTTCGAGGCCAGCCTGGTCTCCAGAGCGAGTGCCAGGATAGACTCCAAAGCTGCACAGAGAAACCCTGTCTCAAAAAACAAAAACAAAAAAAAAAAACAAAAACAAAAGGACCGTCTCTTATGACATATGAGCTTCTGTTAACTTTGGGTTCCACAAGCCCTCTTGTTCCTCAGGCCTCACACCACAAATCACTTATTCCAGATTCAAATTTTCTTGCTCAAATTTCACTCTTCTAGGAATAATTATTTTCATAATCAACTCTCTTCATTATAAAAAAAAAATACAGGATGGAACAAAATGTACCACTGATTCATTTTTCTTTTTTTTTTTTATTTCTCTCCAGGATCTGGACTAAGTCTAAGACAATCGTATGTGTGAATCCTCAAGCCAAATGGCTCCAAATAGTGTTGAAACTTATACGGAGGTGAGTGAACATACCAAGAGCTTTTCTAGCCAGCCGAGTTGGGGAATACTTTATTTACTAACAGGAGGAGCTTGTAGGACAATTGTCTGTTTTGCTGTTACCATGTATTGGCTAGAACAGGGCTGACTCATTCCAGCAATTCAGAAAGCTGTCCCCAGTGTGCACAATAGCATTTCTTCCATGTCGTCAAGGGAAAATTCTGGTTTCTTGTGTACATTCTTCTAAGTGTGACTTATTTTTGTTTTTAATTTACAGCAAATCTATGGCTTCAAAGGCCCCAGTTCCAGTGACTCAGAAAAAGCCTGTCTTTGCCTAAAGGCCCTATCCTCCAAAGGACACCTGCAGCCTCCTTTATTCCCTGCTCTGAATTCTAGCTGTGCTCTTAGTTGAAGAATTTCCAAGAAAATAACTTCCTTTTACAAACAAACATGACTGTCTGTAACAAAAGCCCTGAAGGAGCTGAAAGGGTTAACCCGAGATCCTTTGCATACTGAACCTCCATTCTTGTTGTCTGGGGATGGGAGTTTAGTTATAATCCACTTGGCCTGTGTTTGATAATGGACCTGATGTTTAATGTTAAACCGTCCTAGAGGAATGGAAACTCACCTATAAAACATGAACCTGTAGCTTGTATTAACAAGAAATGAATGGGTGTATGTCCATTGTTTTACATGCTTAGGAAAAGCAGGTTTCCAGAAGTTTCCTGGGCAGCCCATGCAGTTTCAACCTAACACGATGCATAGTGAAAAGCCTCGTGAAGAAAATAGAGTACTTCTACTTTTAAAGGTTTCTTGTATACAATTTATTGTCTTAGATTAAAACCAGTAACATTGAAAGACCCTAGGCTTAACCAGGCTCTCCAGCAGTATACAAATGCATTCCTTTGCACCGTGGTGGCCCTGATGATTTTTTTTTATAATCACATCTTTCACACAGACAAACATAACAGTCTTTTGTATCAAATTCTTTAATGTTTCCTATTCATCTAATGTCATTCAATAAACTTAATGAATACTTTGCTTATGACCAGTTCATTTTTAACAGACAAATTTCTCACAGTGAGATGCTCTTCAGCTGTCCCTAAGGAGACGTACGGTTTCAATCATGTTCATTTTTTCTGCATATCAGAGCCCTTTACAGATGACCTCAAATTATGTCAGCCACGAGAGCAGTTATGGCTCTTTCCCCAGGCATGCTAAATGTGATTTCCTCCAGACTTCAAACTCTTGCTGAAATCCGTTCTCACTGCCTGTTTACAAGGGTTCCCTGAGTCTCCGATGTTTTGTTTGACAAAGTGTTGCACTGAGTTGACAGGCAGAGGACTTAAACACCATTCTTTCCCACCGCTGCTCTGAGGTCATAGCCTGACTCTGCCTCTTGACCTTCCTTAGCTGCTTTGAGGTTTGTTCCCATCACATCTGGTTCACTCTTTCAGGCTCACTCTTTCATTTATATTCATTCATTCATTCATTCATTCATTCGTTTATTTTTGTCAGGGTGGTGGTAGTATTTAGTTTTGTATGGGTTTGTGCATGTGCTCATGTGTGTGGGGAGAGAGAGAGAGTGAGAGAGAGAAGGAAGAGTTCAAACCCCAATATCATTCTTCAGGAGACAGCATCCATCTTATTTTATAGAAAGGGTCTCTCACTGACAAGGAACTAGCTCATAAGTAGGCTAGGCCAGCTGTCTACATTTGCCCCAGGGGAGGGATTATGGGGCTCTGAGGATCTAAACTCAGGTCCCCAGGCTTGTTCAGCAAGGACTTTACTCATTGAGCCAAGTCCTTCCCCACCTCTTTTTATTTTAGGCTTGCTTTCTTTCATTTGTTCTTTCTTTCGTTCATTTGCTCATTCTTTCATTTGTTCTTTCTTTCTCCCTATTTTTTCTTTTTTTCAAATTTTTTAATTTGAATTAGAAACAAGATTGATTTACATGACAATCCCAGTTCCCTTCTCCCTCCTGTCCTCCCCTACCAACCCCCCCAACTAAAACCCTACCTATCACATACCCTTTCTTCTATTCTTCACCTGACTCAACCTTTCTGCTCCCTCATGACCTCTGCATCCTTCCTCTTCTTTCCTTCTCATTCTCATAGCTCCCTTCCACCTCTTCCCAACCTCTGCATCCTTCCTCTTCTTCCCTTCTCATTCTCATAGCTCCCTTCCACCTCTTCCCGAGCTCTCAATTTGTTCAGGAGATCTTGACCCTTTCTCCAAGGGACCATGTATGTCTCTCTTAGGGTCCTCCTTGTTTACTAGTTTCTCTGGCAGTGTGGATTGTAGGCTGGTAATCCTTTATTCTATGTCTAAAATCCACATATGAGTGAGTACACATCATGTTTGTCTTTTTGTGATTGGGTTACCTCACTCAGAATGGTTTCTTCTAGTTCCATCCATTTTCCTGCATGTTTCAAGATTCCATTGTGTTTTTCCGCTGAGTAGTACTCCATTGTGTAAATGTACCACATTTTGTCTATCCAGTCTTTGGTTGAGGAGCATCTAGGCTGCTTCCAGTTTCTGGCTATTACAAACAATGCTGTTATGAACATGGTTGAACAAATGTCCTTGTTTATCTCAAAGTTGTTTTGATTTGCATTTCCCTGATGGATAAGGATGTTGAGCACTTTTTTATGTGTCTTTCAGCCATTTTAGATTCCTCTACTGAGAATCGTCTATTTAGTTTTGTACCTACTTTTTAACTTGAGTTCTTTATGTATTTTGGAGATCAGTCCTCTGTCAGACATGGGGTTGGTGAATATCTTTTCCCAGTCTGTGGGCTGCCGTTTTGTCTTGCTGACTGTGTCTTTGCCTTACAGAAGCTTCTCAGTTTCAGGAGGTCCCATTTATCAAATTATTGATCTCAGTGTGCTACTGGTGTAATGTTCAGGAAATGGTCTCTTGTACCAATTAATTCAAGGGCATTTCCCACTTTGTCTTCTAATAGGGTTTGTATGACTGGATATGTATATATTTGCTATTGCAGTTTTTAAACCATTGTTTTGTCTATCCCAGCTTCTTCTTGAAAATTCTTTGAAATAAAAGCTACGTGTTACTCACTTTGTAAACTATGAATAGCCTCTAAGTTTTATGTCTGGAAAATGATAAGGAATGTGACAAGATCAAGGAGGTTGAGGAGTATATAATCGTAGCACAAGTTCTAATAGGTATTAATAAAAAAAGTTGGAGTCAGTTATTGAGTGAATGCTGAAAGGTTAGAGATGTTAAAGAACCAGCCACAAGAGAAATCTCTTACCTCTATTAAATCATCAGACTGAATGCATTATCTTGTCTTTACAAGACCTCAGCCTGAATACCCTCTGTATGAAACTTCAAACTTCATCTGAGCTTCCATCTCCTCTC